ATTTATATTTCCTCAGAAATATCTCACCAGGCCATGGTTGCTTTGAAAATCTTTGATGTTTTAATACAGACTGCCCATGTGTAAACTGCTCAAAATATTGACTGATAGGAACTTGCTACTTGAACACTACTGTTATTCATATAAAAACATATCAATTATAATTTATTAAAATCATTGCAGTACACCAAAAGATGACATTCCTTTTTTTGATATACAGTGTACTTCGTTGTTAGTTGCTTAGTGGAGTGTCAGTAGTGAATCAAATTTTAGGGGTTGGTGCCCCAACTTTCACAGTGGCTCTCTTGCTCTGCCCTGAGATGCAAAGAAAACTTATATCACCTTTATGAACTTGACTTGCTTTTGAGAGCAAATGCAATTTGTTTTAAACAAGAAACTGGAACATTGCAAATTACAACAATGTGTACAGTCCCAATCAAAGGGCCATCCAGGCTGTTTGGTTGTACATATACAATGTAACCATACAACTGCATATGAGTTCAGCTTCCAAAAGAAAATCAGAGTTTGTCAGGATAAATACTGATGTCCATGCAAGCTTACTAAATCTGAATGTGCAGTTCCAGAAGATATTCACACCCAACACTCATTCATGGCCAGTCTTAAGAAATTCATAATATTTCAAAATTCCAAAGTATCAGGAAGAGAGAGCTCTAATAGAGAAAAAAACCTCCATGTAGGGTATGAATCTTCTCTTGAAGAAAACAATGTCTGAGAAATCATTAATTAAAAAATAATGTTTAAGAAATATCTTACCTGGTAATTCCAACTTTCAGAAAATTTTGTAACCTAGACTGTCTGGCCAGTTGATATATTTCACAAGTTGACACTGGGCATGTTTGTAAATTTGTGGGCTTCAACATCACATTACTATGTAGAAGCATTGGTCAACTAAAAACAGAATAATTTGGTTAATTAATATACACTGTACATTATTAGGTTGAAATATTAGCGTAGATCATTGCACACCAACAGATACAGAAACTATTGGCAGCTGAATCATAACAAGTGAAAAACCGTGCATGAGACATTACTTGTACATGTAACAGTCCTCCACCTCAGAACCATCACAGATATGATATGATATTTTTAAACTCTCTGAAATTTCAGATTATTCAAGTCTAACATGCACGTACATCATTAAGGGCAACCCTAAAACACTGAATCCGGAAACTGGAACCTGGAAATGGAAACTAGAATCTGGAATCCAGATATTATGAATGATGATAGAAATAATTCACTTCAGCAATGTCTAATAAATAAATATGGAGAAAAATTATTTTGCTGTTATTTATTTTCTTGGTTTTACTTCAGCCACAAACTGTAATTGCTAAAAAATTTTTGACTAGTTCTCAACAACCCTTAGCTATACATCTGGCCCGATTGTTCAAAAGCTGGATAAAGCTATCCATTAGGTAAATCACTATCCAGTCAGGGTTAGTTTCAACAGCTTTTGGCGAATAAACATCACAGGTTGCATGATTGCAAATTTGGCCAAGAGGAAGTTTGGGTCTGGTCACAGACAAAAAAAAAAAAAAAAAAA